GAAATAGGCAGGGTGGTGGCACCTACCCGTGCGGACTCACAAGAGGTCCTACCACCAGTAATTAGGTTAATTTTTTTTGCGCAGAACCCTAATTTGTTTCTAAAACAAAAGATTATATTTTATAATTCACTTCTTGTAATATCAGCTATATGCCATTGAGAGTTCCGTCAAAAATTGTTAGAGGTATTCTAATTTTTTCCTCTACTTATTCGCAGGCAGCTTAGGGCGGCTGGCTATTCCAGGTATACCCGGACAAGTAGGTGGGCTCACGGGCTCTACTTGAATTTGTTAAAACTAGCCCTAGCAAGAACAGTGCTTCACAGAACTTACCACCGGATCGGAGCCGCGACGCACTGAGAAGATCCGGTTTTGTATACAAACTTAATGGTCATTTGAGAATCTAATATATTGATTGGGTAAACATAGTATTTGTGTCTAAGCCAAATCGTTTGAGTTCACGTGAGCATAGCTTTACAGTCTCCGCTTTACAATTCCAGTGGCAAAAAACAAAAGAGCACATGTCTGATGCTTCGCATTGCGAAAAGGTTCTTTATTATTAAGGCGTACGGTGGTTTTTCTTTTCAAAACAGCATTCAGATCTAGTGTATTATGGTTCGGAATGATCGAGTTTTATGTCGTAAAATGTCGTTCAGTTTGTGCAGTATATAGTAGAACGATCGTTGCTGGCTCCTCTATGTTTTATGTATCAATGTTTACGTCATCAGCGTTTCGTCATTACTATGCCTGTCCTCTGGTTTTATCTGACCTATATTCATAATCCAAGTATTTGAAATGGGAGCTCAACGTATTTCGGAACGTCTCATACCCGGATTCAGTAATGATAGGGATTTAAGTAAGATATAGATGATGTGGTTTTTTCTTTATTTTTATTGCTTAGATGTGTGAACGAGCTCACAGCCCACCTGGTGTTAAGTGGTTACTGGAGCCCATAGATATCAACAACGTAAGAGCGTCACCCATCTTGAGATTTATGTTCTAAGGTCTCAGTATAGTTACAACGGCTGCCCCACCCTTCAAACCGAAACGCATTGTTGCTTCACGGCATAATTACGCAGGGTGGTGGTACCTACCCGCGGGGACTCACAAGAGGTCCTACCACCAGTAAAAAAGAAGAAGTTGCTGAGTATTCTCTGAGAATAACATTTAAGAGTCCGCCATTGAAAGCATAAGTACCTTTGTTCTTGGCAGGCAATGTAACGCAATTTGAAATGACCTAACGCGACCCACAGTACCGATTTAATATGGAGGGCGTCCGCCGCAATATCCATTGCGGGTTGACGAAACTTCTCAAAATTATACAGCTAAGCATTTATGGTAAACATTCGTAAATTAAAACTGTTGTTTGTTCAGATTCTATATTACTAAAAGAGTATATGTGCCAAATTAAAGGCTTCGTCAAACAGAGCGCGTAATTATCGCGCGTCAGAACGCTAAACTGACGGCGCGCTATGACGCTGCGATGTGTTGTACTACTATGGTAACATACCGTCAAACAGAGCCCCGGCGTTAGGGCTGATTGACAGTATATTACCATAGTAGTCCAACACATCTCGGCGTCATAGCGCGCCGTCAGTTTAGCGCTCTGACGCGCGATAATTACGCGTTCTGTTTGACGAAGCCTTTAAACTGCATCGGAGATGTCGTAATGAGTGAGTGCTATCTCGCTTTCACGTACTACATTACTGGTGGTAGGACGTCTTGTAAGTCCGCACGGTTAGGTATTCTACCTATTTCTGCCGTGAAGCAGTAATGCGTTTCGGTTTGAAGGGTGGGGCAGCCGTTGTACTGTAAAAACGGAGACCTAAGAGCTCATGTCTCGAGATGGGTTTACATTTACGTTGTAGATGTCTATGGGCTCCAGTAATCACTTAACACTGGGTGGTCCGTGAGCTCGTCTACACGTCTAGCAATAACAAAAATATTACATACATTAAAAGTTACCATGAAAGTATTCGAGAGGCCAGAAATTTTAAAAAGCTCAATAATAAACCGTGTAATTAATTCCATCACATCGAGAAATATCCATATTGTTAAACAACAAAAGGGTATTGAAATATTTTTATCCGTATATTGGCTTATAAATCCTTGTAATTGGCACAAGCTATTGTACAGAAATACTGTCTATGAGGAGCATTAAGTTCCATCAATACTTAATCTACCCGCATCCCGTCAATAAGATAAGAGGAACGCATAATTCAATTTATTACAAGTGTTTTAAGAAAGTTACGACCTCTGCAAACGACTCGAGACCTTTTGTGCGTGCTTTTTGGATTGCAACTTCTTAATTTGATACGTACGAAGATTTGAAGTAAAATTTTAAGGTTGTGTCAGTCTAGTCGTCGTGGTCTAAAGGATAAGACGTCCGGAGCATTCGTATGAAGCGATGCACCGGTGTTCGAATCCCGCAGGCGGGTACCAATTTTTCTAATGAAATACGTACTCAACAAATGTTCGCTATTTACTTCCACGGTGAAGGAATAACATCGTGTAATAAAAATCAAACCCGCAAAATAATAATTTGCGTAATCACTGGTGGTAGGACCTCTTGGGAGTCCGCACGGGTAGGTACCACCACCCCGCCTATTTCCGCCGTGAAGCAGTAATGCGTTTCGGTTCGAAGGGTGGGGTAGCCGTTGTAACTATACTGAGACCTTAGAACTTATATCTCGAGGTGGATGGCGCATTTGCGTTGTGGATGTCTATGGCCTCCAGTAACCACTTAACCACGTGGGCTGTGAGCTCGTCCACACATCTAAGCAATAATAATAAAAAAAAAATGTGTGCGTGTACTAGTGTACACACGTAAGAAGTGAAACTTGTTTATGGCCTTATTTTTCGAAAAATGATCTACATGCAACTTTCTAGAAATTGGTTAAATAAAGTTAAATTAGATAAAGTTTAAACAAAAGGATTTTATTATCATAGACATGAATACAAAAAAGTTAAATTAGATAAAGTTTAAACAAAAGGATTTTATTATCATAGACATGAATACAAAACAGATGGCGCGTAACGGAAAAAAGTGACGCGTAACCGAAAAATGTGACGGTAAATTTTTTTCCAACGCCGATAAGGAAGTTTCACTTCAAAAAAATTAAAAATTGTTGTAAGAAAACTATACACACTGCTCGCGGTAGGCAGCGGCTTGGCTCTGCCCCTGGCATTGCTGAAGTCCATGGGCGACGGTAACCACTCACCATCAGGTGGGCCGTATGCTCGTCTACCTACAAGGGCAATAAAAAAAAAATACATTCCCTCGCCACAGAAGTCTAGTAAAGAGAGCGACATATGCACTACAAAACAAAAGCGATTTTCATTAAACCTCAATAGGATATAATATCGATGATTTCTTATTAATTTGTATATTGACAACACACACGTGTCAACGCCAATTTTGTTACAATCATAACCTAACAACGTTTCCGACGAAAGTTCCATTAGAAACCTTAAGCTTGTATGCTAAAGGTGGTATTTGCTTTTTCAGGATCTTGTTAGTTCCTCCTATTCTATTATAGTACATCATAAACATATCCATAAACACAGGTGACATATTAAAAAAGTGTTAATAAAAAATAACTGGTCAAAGCTGATATTTTCTATTTTTCCGATCTTTTAATCTGTAACGTCCCTTATAGAGTCTACAAGAAATACATTATTTCGTATTTCTCACGATACATTACCCCGCGATCGTTCTCTTAGTTAAGGGTCATTCATACACACATAATAATTTTGTTATACGTTATTATTATAAATTAATTCAGTATATACGATTTGCGTGGGCTAGGCGAACTAGTGACTAGTAATGAATTATTACTTTGTCATGAAATTTATTAATGTCTCGAAAATAATGTTGGATATCACTACATAGTATAAAGCAAAGTCGCTTTCTCTGTCCCTATATCTGTCTGTCCCTGTGTATGCTTAAATCTTTAAAACTACGCAACGGATTTTGATGCGGTTTTTTTTAATAGATAGAGCGATTAAAGAGGAAGGTTTATATGTATAATAACATCCATTAAATAGTGGAGAAATCAATAATAAATTACAGTTTCCGAAGCGAAGCGAGGGCGGGTCGCTAGTTATGAATAAAATTCAGACTTCGATACTCGCTCAATATGTCACTTAGATTCAGATGGGCTGTGAAAACGTTGGCCTAAAAGAAATATATCCGAACGATACTCTTGGATATCTATAGAAGGTGTATTATGAATAGCCTATCAATGAGGAAACGTCTTAAGCCCACCACGAGGCTTATCGAATGACGGATAGCGTTGTGCCCCCGAAATCGGTGACCTGACGTTTATCTACTTCAGCAAAAAAGGAAAAAATATTTACCCGAATAAGTTGCGCTGCAATTTATGTTCTGAGGGACGCGTGAGGACATTGTATTACTATTTACAGACTTGAATGTTTATTGATTTTGTCAGACCGTTTATGAGGAAATGTATAATTGAGGCCGTCAGCGCAAAAGTGACCTAACCCACAATTTTTCATAATCATGCTTATAATTATACATTTATTTAAAATATAATAAATTTTGATGCAAAACCGGCGGCCTATCCATAGTTACACCCATAGATAACAGATGGCTTTGTAAACATTATTTTTGCGCCTATTGTTTTTTTGCCCACTCAAATTCAAATTCGTGAAAACTTAAAATTCATTGCTCCATAATAACATGGTAAGCTTAGACCACTTTTACGGTGACGGCCTCAATTGGACCCGGTACATGACGTCGACGATCAGATTTAATTTTTCAGGGCAAATTATCGATTTGGCTAATTTTGGTCTTGAATTATTCGTGGAAACCCAGAGAAGGTTTAAAAGATGAAAAAATATGAAAATGCTTGGAATTATATAAAAACAAACAATTTTGTTTTTCCTTAGATGTGTCCCCTTGATGTGTCTTTTATTTATCGATTGAGGCACTACGAAGTCTGCCGGGTTAGCTAGTTTAATAATATAATCTAAAGACTCACCTACTAAAATCACGCCCTGCTTCGTATACCACACAAAGATCTGAAACAAAAATAATAATCAATTATTTAATTTACTCCCTTCATTATTCTGAAAGTATTATCACATCGAGGGGTAAAATGGTATTTGGTTTGAGCGCCATTTCCCTTTAATACGCGACATTTATCTTGGTAATTAAAGGTCCGTTTTTATTTGGTATTAGCATCAACAATTCGATGTTTTAATTAAAATTCAATTAAGTTTACTCCATTCAGATAGCTGAAGGAGTTTTTTTGGTTTTTTATTTATTTATTTTTTTATTGCTTATATGGGCGGACGACCTCACAGCCCACCTGATGTTAAGTGGTTACTGGAGCCCATCAGTAAGTTATTTGGGGTACGCCCAGAACAGACGGAGCGACGATTTGCGAACGGTAGCCATCGGGAAATGGATGAGGGGAGCCAAAGACCGGGCTGGGTTATGTAAATACGGAGCCGACTAAGTCCAGCAGTGGACAACAGTGGCCTAATTATGATTCTGATATTTTAATGTATTTTTTTTTCAGCCCACGCACGTTCACTGGCGAACGTAAGCCTCGCCCAAAGTTTTGATTTGTTTTGATTTGATTTGAATAACCTGTCTTGCGCAGCCTGAATCCAACGTATAATGCATGAGTAAGTACGTCGAATACCGAAACACATAAATAAAATTTACGTAAAACTGGTGGTAGAACGTTTTGTGAGTCCGCGCGGATAGGTACCACCACCCTGCCTATTTCTGCCGTGAAGCAGTTACGCGTTTCGGTTTGAAGGGTCTTCCCCTGAAGATCTTCCCCTCCGTCGTTAAGCCTCCAAACAACCAGTAGCTTTTGAGTTATCCTTATTAACAAAGCATCTTCAATTAATCCCGACTATATTGATGATATTCTCATTTTAACGTTGGATTCGGTTTTATTTTTTTATAAACTTTATTATGTTTTATCATTGACACAAGAGTAGAACTATTTCATCTATACGTTTTGATTGATTAACCTGGACTAAGGAAAAAAGATAAATAATTCAGAAACTGAGAAGAGAATTGTACTCTACTGCCATGTCTATGCGTTTTTATAAATAGACCAGTCAAACCTGCCACCACCACACCTATTTCTGCCGTGAAGCAGTAATGCGGTTCGGTTTGAAGGGCGGAGCAGCCGTTGTAACTATACTGAGACCTTAGAACTCATATCTCAAGGTGGGTGGCAGCATTTACGTTGTACATGACCTCCGTCAAATCGCGATAAGTGTTGCCGTGGTAAAAACTCAAAAACCTACACATTGGTTTCGAATAATACCAATAACATAATATAGATACAACGATTTAAAGGATCGACATCCTCAACATGGCAGATGCGTGAACAGGTATATTTAGATTTTTCCCACTAAGTTGGGTAGAGTGAAAAAAAAATAACTACTGTTATTGTATTCAATTCTTTTTTTTTTTTGCTTACACTGACGAACCTGATGTTAACTGACTACCAGAGCGTATAGACACCACAGCCGAGGATCGTGCGCAGTGGACTGCTATAGGCTAATGATGTTGATGATGACATGATGATGAGGATGATAGACACCACAACGTGAATACAACAACCCACCTTGGACTTTGGTCTACGTCTTAATTATACAGTAATTACGCTATTTTGTGTTTTTTTTTGTTTTTTCAATCTGTCTTTTTTGTTGAGGTTTTGAGCCTGTAAATGATGCTTTAAGGTATAAGAAATCTATTTATATAAAAAGGAATTGCTGTTTGTTAGTCTCGCTAAAACTCGAGAACGGCTGAAGCGATTTGGCTAATTTTGGTCTTGAATTACTTTTGGAAGTCCAGAGAAGGTTTAAAAGGTAGATAAATATGAAAATGCTCGGAGTTAAATTTTGTTTTTCCTTTGATGTGTCCCCCGTCGGACGGATTCCTTTTGTTTGTTTTAAGATTATTTTATACAAAAGTTTAGGTCTTTTATTTATCGATTGAGGCACTACGAAGTCTGCCGGGTCAGCTAGTCGTTAATAATTTTATGCGAACGACAATGCAAGCAGATACATTCGCACTGTCATAAATGTACGTAACATATTCATATAAATGAGCACACATTATTCAAAGGAATATCCCGTTGCAAAAGTTAGCGTCGCTCTTGAAGTTTGCACGAGAAAGTTTCACGTAACTTGATTAAATCGAGTTTAGAAGACGGGTAATGGATAATGATAAACGATTGTTATGTGTTACGTGTTTTATTTATTTATTGCTTAGATGGGTGGATGAGCTCACAGCCCACCTGATATTATGTTACTGGACCCCATAAACATCTACAACAAAAATGCCGGCATCTACCTTGAGATATGAGTTCTAAGGTCTCACTTGTAACATTACAACGGCTGCCCCACCCTTCAAGCCGAAACGCATTACTGCTTCACGGCAAAAATAGGCAGGGTGGTGGTACATACCGGTGCGGACTCACAAGACGTCCTACCATTAGTGGTACTTGTTTTAGACAATGATTCACATACTGTTAAAAATATCACTGGTGGTAGAACCTCTTGGGAGTCCTCACGGGTAGGTACCACCACTCCGCCTATTTCCGCCGTGAAGCAGTAATGCGTTTCGGTTCGAAGGGTGGGGTAGCCGTTGTAACTATACTGAGACCTTAGAACTTATATATCAAGATGGGTGGTGCATTTACGTTGTAGATGTATGGGCTCCAGTAATCACTTAACATCAGGTGGGCGGTGAGCTCGTTCATCCATCAAAGCAATAAAAAAAAATCCAAAAATGTTAAAAGAAGCTCTTTGAATTAACGAAATACTTAAATACTTTCGACCAGAGTGGACAATACCACAATCGGATCGTCTGGGGGACGACGGAAACATCTTCTTACTTTACAAACAGCAGATTACTTGTGTGACGTCTGTCTCGCTCTGGCGCGGGCTAGTCAAAGTATGAAAAGTCTGCATTGTACGTAGTAGATACTCTGTGTGGGTTAAAAATAAAGAAACATCTTCAATTAATAGTGTTTCCTTTGCATATTAAAACTTTCTTAAAAGTCTATATCGAAGGGTATTTAGCTTAACCGAAATTTTGCTTAATTTGCGACATGAGAGCCTTGAGAGGCTATATCAGCGTAGCCTTAACTAGTAGGTGAGCTCGCGGGGCTCAAACCTGAGACGACGTTGCTAACACGAACCCTAGCAAGAGCCGTGCTTCGCAGAATCTACCACCGGATCGGAAACGCGACCCACTGAGAAGATCCGGCGAGAAACTCTGTGGACTATTTTTGTAATTAAAGGTCCCTTTTATTTGGTATTAGCATCAACAGTTCGATGTTTTTAATTGAACTTCAATTAAGTTTACTCCATTCAAATAGCTGAAGAAGTTTTTTTTTCATTATAGTTTTTTCCGTATTTTGAATTTTAAACTTTGAAGTCGTCGTGGCCTAAAGGATAAGGCGTCCGGTGCATTCGTATGTAGCGATGTACCGGTGTTCGAATCCCGCCGGCAGTTACCAATTTTTCTAATGAAATACGTACCTAACAAATGTTCACGATTGACTTCCCCGGTGAAGGAAAATAACATCGTGTAATAAAAATCAAACCCGCAAAAATATAATTTGCGTAACCACCACCCCGCCTATTTTTGCCGTGAAACAATAATACGTTTCGGTTTGAAGGGTGGGGCAGCCGTTGTAACTATACTGAGATCTTAAAACTCATATCTCAAGGTGGGTGGCGCATTTACGTTGTAGATGTTTATGGGCTCCAGTGACCACTTAAAAACCAGGTGGGCTGTGAGTTCGTCCACGCACCTAAGCAATAAAAAAAAATGGCTCTCCTGTAAGGTTGCAAAAATGTCGCTTAAACCAAATATCACCGTCAATATACCTAGTCGGGTCATAAATTCTGTCACACGTTTAATGTAAAATAATTGAAACAAGTTTATTCATTATGTAACCATTCATATACCAAAATGAACTTAACAAAACATAGATTCTTATGACACTAAAGTTTATTCAAAATGACCTCCGTGATTTTGAATACAGGCCTTCAATCTGCGCGGCCAGTCGTCTATCGCAGCACGAACGAGGTCCNCATAAATTCTGTCACACGTTTAATGTAAAATAATTGAAACAAGTTTATTCATTATGTAACCATTCATATACCAAAATGAACTTAACAAAACATAGATTCTTATGACACTAAAGTTTATTCAAAATGACCTCCGTGATTTTGAATACAGGCCTTCAATCTGCGCGGCCAGTCGTCTATCGCAGCACGAACGAGGTCCATGTCAATATCGAGTCTAGAGTCTTCATTGTATCGTTTGATGGTACGATAAACGAATCTTTTGGTTATATTCAAATTTTTCAGTATGTTAAAATTTTGAATTGGCGCGTAACCGCAACGATGCAACGCAATAACTGCAACACGGTCTTCTTTAAGCGTTCACTCCATATTTAAAAATGAGTAAAATTCTAAAAAGTATACATTTTTATTTTCATGAACAATTCGAAATTCGAATTCAATAAACTTTTTTGTGGCCAAGCATTCTAAAAGAAAAGTTTTTACTGTGTGACAATACTTATGACCTGACTAGTTATATGTAGAAGTAGCTCCAGACTCACGAGTGACCAAAATCAGTGAATAATATATTAGATTTAAAATACATTTATTTCTAGGTCAAGAAAGAAAGCGCCATCGTCGCTAAGGAGACAAGTTATTTACTGAGAAACTGTAATTTATATAGGGTGTGCCGAAATTCAACATCAAGCAAACGAAAAGCAGGTTACATAATTTTTGACTAAAATAAGAGAAGTTCACGGAACTGGGTTAAGTGAAAATATTTTTTACATGTTTTATTCGTCTATAATTTCGTGTTTCATTACATAATCCTAAATGGTGTTATTTATTATGTGACATATTTTAAACAAAGCAAGTTGTCAGTAGCGTTTATTTTAAGATTGGCTTAATTTTTTTTCTATGAGTTAAAAGCCAGGGACATGCATATCGAATAAATGACTTTTTTTAGACAAATA